AAAAAAAAAAAAAAAAAGAAGAAGAAGAAGAAGAAGAAGAAGGAGGAGAAGTTTTTCTTTATTTTTTCATGTAAATGTGTTGAAATCATGTGGAACATGTACATTCTGATATATGAGTGTGACATAAATTGGCTTATATTATGATAATTCTAAATTTCTAATATTGATCATTTTTTTTTTTTAATTTCATTCTTCTCTTTTATTTATTTAGTTGTTTTGGTGAAATGACAATTTGAATATTCATTGGATATATGTTGGTTGATCAAATTGATTCAAAGAGGTGATTGTATTTATTTCTAACCTGAATAAAACATATGGATATGCTATATACCCACTTCAAAATGCTCACTTGTCAATTTAATTAATTTAAATAAAAATTGAGCAAGACATGAATCTGTACTACATTAGTGTTCATTAGGGAATTAATTGTTCATCTTTGCAAAATCATTAATTATTGGAGAGGTCAATAATGATTTATGGTGGTTGGTGTTATTAAGATGATCTTTCCCTTTCATCTAATATTGAAATAAATTATATTTATACCATGTTGAAAAATGGGGAAAAATAGCTAGGACTCATTTATTTTGAAATTAGGGCTCTAAAGAGTAAATGCAATTCATGCTCATCAATTATGCACTAAAAATTAATTCATGAGACTCTAGCAACAATTTCTGTTTTGGATTTAAATAATAACTATTACAATCCCCGTATACAACACGGGTGTTTGAGTTAAAAAATATAAGATAAAAATTATTTATGTCTAATACCAAACCTAACTCTAAAATAAAAATAATATAAAAAAACAACATCACGAAGCATAGAGTTTCGCCATATCAACATCTGAAATGTAAGAATATGTCACCTAGACTCAACACGTCTTGAATTAATATATAGAGAGGAGATTTTGTTGAGTATAGTCTTTGGTTTTGACCAATTCAGGTGGAATGGTAGATTTTGCTGACTAATTTGCAATTTATTAAGATACAAGCAAATTTAGACTTGACTTGGAAGCATTATTACAATTACGAGATAGATGAAGAAATACTATTTTCTAGTTTCCCTTTTTTTTTTTTTTTAAAAAAAAAACGTATAAATAATTCTCAAATTAAAATGATACTATTATACAAATTGTTACTTATTCATTCATATATTTTTAAATATCAGTCAAATTTTAATATTTTATTATTTTTATATCATATCAATCTTAATTAATATATCTATCCACAATCAAATTTCTATTGCACTTCTTCTAAAAATATATATATATTTTTTTTTTTCACTTTTGCACACCATTTTCATTGGTTCACATATATGCCCTTTTTTAGGGTATTAATAACTTTTACTTCGACAAACAACAATAGTTGTAACGTTTTATATTGGAAAGATGCTACGGTCCCGTTACGGAACCATTCCATCCGGGTTTGTAACCGTTAGATCAACTATCTCTAATGATTATATGATGATCTAATAGTTACAAACCTGACGAAATAATTCCGTAACGAGACCTTACCATTTCCTTTTATATTGTGGGGAAATTGTCATAATTATTTTATGAACGTACCACTCCTCTATATTAATGAAAATGTCCTGTGGACATCATCGTGTGAATTTGGGGTTCATAATTGCCAATTTGTAGTTTTAATATAGATTTGGACTTCTATCAATATCAATTAAAGTTTTAAAATATGGCTAGAAATCTATTGTTATAAGGTACTTAACTAACCTTTAAATATGAATATATTTTACAAATTAATAATTATTGTAATTATTATAAGTTTTATCATATATGATTTATTAAATTAATTATTCCTAAACGAACATCGATTTGAAGTCTATATTATATATATATATATATATATATATAATGAAAAATAAATTATCGATTAACATTAATTATAAAATTAATATGTGGTAGTGAGAACATTTGTTAAAAAAAACTATTACATAAGTAAGAATATCACTTAAAAATTGTTAAAAATGTAAGAACATCACTTAAAATTACACTCCTCTTCCAAGCCTTGAGTGTTGACAGTCTAGGTGATTCGTGACACTCTTCTTGCCGATTCCAGAGGTGAACCAATTTCATGTTTATTTTCTATCTTTCTATCTGTTTTAAGATGTATTTTACTATCATATTTTGATAGAATATATACTAATAAAAATATGACAAGTTATTAGAATTATTTATACAGATTATTGGTAATTTTTTTTATAATGTATATGAATATGTTATTTAATTTTAAACTAGGGTATATATATTAATTTATAGTAGTTGTTGGTGGCTAGGATTCAAATTATCAATATTAGCATAATATATACTATTTTGATATTCTAGACATATGATATTAAGTATTTTAGACATTATTTTAGAATTTATGTAATATTTAATATACATATTTAATAGAATTTATTTGAAAAAAATAAATAAATAAAAAGAATAATATATTAATGTAAAGTAAATTGCCTGGAGATGAGATTAAATTTTTCGCTTACTTTAAAGTTCTACTCTAGAGTAGAGTTCACTGGAGTAAAGTAAATGACTGGAGATGGTCAGTCTCAATCTGGCTATTGGTCTCCGGGTGAATGACATGTCAGAGACGATTTTCCACTACATTTATAGTGATCAATCGTCGACTTTAAAGCGACGTCGTTTTGATTTGAATTAAAAAAATAACAAATATCTCGAGAAGTTTCTCAGTTCTTGGCGATGCTATTCACACACAACACACAATACACAGTGATTCTCAGCACACGGTAGCAGCCTTATACATGGAAATCGTTGACGACCTAGCCAACCTAATCAAAGACAAGGACTTGTTCAAGGCGGCAGAGTCCGTTGATATCTTGGTTTTCCGATCGCTCTCCGAATAGCAGCTCCAAGGCCTATAGAGCTAAGTAAAAGGAAAAATAAAGCGTAACTAAAACTAAAACAACCAAAGCAGGGGCGGAGCCAGGATTTGAAAACACCTGGGGCTGGGGCGGTTTAAATTGTGATCTCCATTTTTTTTTTTTTTTTTTAGATTCAAACTCGCGATTATAGTATCATTACTAATATTTTCGACCAACTCCATTTCAATGTAAACAACCATTGGATCCGCCAAAAACTCCTCTTCCATCTTATTAAGAAGAACCGCCTTGACAAGTTTTATAGCCGAAAATGCTCGCTTTGTAGTTGCCGTAGACACAAGGAGAGTCAAAACAAGAAGAATTGGTCCCACCTTAATATAAGCTCGTCTTATTTCATCCCTTTGATCGACAAGATATTTCCATATTGGAGTATGTAATGCTGGATCACGTTCAAGAGAACTATACCAATTGAGGCGGCAACATTGAAGAACGATCTCCATTTGTCGGCGTATGCTCTTTTGGCTTAACGAAGGAATTGATTGTCTTTGTTCTTCGTACATTCTCCATTATGATTGAAACCTATCAGGTTAACAAAAAATAATACTTAATCAAGCATTTGATGATATAAGAAAACTAAAAAATAAAACTTGAAAAAAGTAATCAAGAACGATTTGTGGGTTTTTGTACACACTCTTATGTTATCAAGGTCAAGTTTGTACACACTTTTATTATGAAGGCCAAACAAGCATCCACACATTTTAAAGCATCGAGTACATGATCAACAAACATTAACACGTATAATTAAGCTAAAAACATGTTCTCTCATTGATCTCGACTTTAACGTAAATTTTTGAAACAGGTGACAAAACAAACAAATAAAGCCACAGGCCCACAAAACACAAATTGGGAGAAAAACCAATTAAGGTTTCAATTCACATATGACATGGCAGAACGTAGAGAAACAAATTCACACCAAAATTAGATTAACATGGACATATTACAAACAAAGATACAAACATAAACACAATTTTCCTTTTGTAAGTTATCTGAAAATTAGAATTAAATTTACAGATTGCATTACGCAGAACACCACAAAAAATATTGAATGAGGATGGAATTTCAAAACAAAAACTATGGTTAAAAAGGATAATATATTAATGATAGAAATTTCAAAATCTTCGTCCGCAATTAGTTTGGGGAAGGAGGGAGTCTGCAAACAAACTCACCTTTTAGCTATTATTTGAGAATTTCTTTTTTCTAAAGAACAATTAATAATGTTGTAAAAAATTGTAATATGTTTGCAAATGAGGTTATGCTCATTAACTCGATTCGACCAAATCTGGGAACCAAATGAATAGATTTTGAACTCTATTCAGCCAAGATTAAACAATTGAGCACACCATCACTATAATTTAATTCACAAAATTCACACACCTGACAGGCTGACACCACATTTCAATTCATAGTCAATAAAACCTAAATTAATCAATAAGCCGCTAAGGTTCAGCCGTCGTTACCTGACCTCGGAGTCGCTCTCAATCCCGCTGATTTGCCGGCTGTCGCACGCCGCTCGATCCTCGAAGGTCTTGCTTTCTCCGTTCATCGCAATCGCCGCACCCTCACACCGGTCTCACAAGTCGCAGCTCTCGCTTCCTCGCCACCGGAGCCGGATGGAAAATGCGTCTAATAACATATGTACAAATCATTTTACACAATGTACAAACACCTTTAAGTTTCTTTCCTATTCATTAGAAGTATAGGTATTTTACAGTATTTGCACAAGTGACCCAAGTATATAAGGGCACTCATGTATCTTTATTCTTCACTTTTTCAGTTTTATGAAACCCTAAGCATTCTTTCATCTCTCTCTCGCCGCTCTCTCTCTCTCTTGCGATGTGTTCGATTATCAGCATTATCATGGTATCAGTCGCCGGCGCCTCGCCGATCCGATAGATTTTTTTCTGATTTCCGCTGCTTCTCATCCTTCTCCTCTCTCTTGCCACTCTCCGGCGTGAATTTTCTCTCAATTTTCATTTTAATCTGAATCTGTA